ACCTGCAGCATGGCCCCCTCTCCCCTGAGCCTCTCCGCTTTTGGGGAGAGACTCGGAAGGGGGGAGGGGGAGATTTAAAGTCACTTGTATATTCCTTAACTCATTTTAAGCATGCCTGCCCTTTGTCAGGGGGTGTGGCCTATGCAAATACGTTATGCAAATGAGCCCCCTGCACCTCTTTTTCTAGGAAATGACCCCTGTGGCAGAGGATGGCCTTTTGTGAGTCACGGCTCGCTTCTTCAGTGACTCTCGGAAGCTCATTCCCTGCCACACTATTTTAAAGCCTTTAAGGTGCTACTGCCGGCCCTTGCTCCTTCCTACTGCCAGGGTCACAGTTTGTCCAGGGCCCCAAAATATCTTGGGCCAGCTCCGGATGGGTCAACATTTGGACTCATGGGTTGCCGTACTGAAAAGGCTGAGAGCCGCCGCTCTTGTCCCTGCTCCTCTGCTCACCCATTCTTACCTCTCTCCTCGCAGGGATGCCGGACGAGCAGAGGGAGGGGCTGCAGGAGGAGCTGATCGACAGCATCCTTCAGGTCCTGCAACGCAACCCGCAGCTGCACTACTACCAAGGCTACCACGACATCGTGGTCACCTTCCTGCTGGTGGTCGGGGAGAGGCTGGCGACGGTCCTCGTGGAGAAGCTTTCGACCCACCACCTCAGGTACGCCTGCCTGTGGCTCTGTCCCCAGAGCTGGCTTTTTATTTTGCATCTTTGTTTCCGTACATTGGCTGGAGAGAAGTAACACGCTTAATCCCAGAGCCAGGAGCCAACATCGGGGGAAGGTCTCAGCATCTGGGCGCTGTTGATGGCCCTCCAGAGGAACTGGCTGGCCCTTCTGTGAGACAGGATGCTGGAGTGGATGGACCACTGGTCTGATCCAGCAGGGCTCCCTTCTGATGTTCTTATGGAGGCCTCAGCCTCTGTGCCCTGTTGATGGCCCTCCAGAGGAACTGGCTGGCCACTGTGTGAGACAGGATGCTGGACTAGATGGACCCTCACAGGTGTGATCCAGCAGGGCTCTTCTGATGTTCCTATGAGGCAGGAGATGCGTGATCCAGATGTCCAAGGTTGTTGGGGGGGGGGTTTAAGCCAATAGCAGCCTGGCCTTATTTGGATCTGGGATGTAGCACTGGGGTGAGGGTTCACGCATACATAGGAAGCTCCCTTGTACCGAATGAGGCCATTGGTCTGTATTGTCCGGTCAGCCTGGCAGCGGCCTTCCAAGGCCACAGGCGGGGGGGAGGGGGTGTCTTTCGCATCACCTACTGCTCAGTCCTTTTCCCCTGGAGATGACGGGGATTGAACCTGGGGCCGTCTGCATGCCTAGCAAGTGCTCTGCCACTGAGCCGCAGCCCAGGGTTCTATCCTCCTCCCTGCCCGACAAGAGAAGAGGCCTGCCGACCCTTTCCAGGAAAGCAGCCCCCTCCTTCCTCTCTCTGCCTGCCTCCCAGGTCAGTGTGGTGCAATGGTTAAGTGCGCGGACTCTAATCTGGGAGAACTGGGTTTGATTCCCCACTCCTCCACTTGCACCTGGCTGGATGACCTTGGGCAAGCCATAGTTCTGTCGGAGCTTTTCTCTCAAGGGCAGTTTCTCTCAGAGCTCTCTCAGCCCCACCTGCCTCACAGGGTGTCTGTTGTGGGGAGGGGAAGGGAA